GGATTGGTCGTAGTTGCCTTGATGAGGACGAGGAACACGGAGAGACGCTCCCGAGGGTGTTGTCGTTTCTTCCGAGGGCTACAGCCCTGTGGGCGATGTCTTCCTCACACATCAATGGTGACAGATATAAAATATTAGACTTCAGGTAGATAGTGCAATGGTAAAATGCAAGTTGTTAAGATTCTATTCAGATGCGATTATTACATAAACATTAACAGAATTAGCCTGCTGGACAGTCGCTCGAACCGTGGACCTTATTAAAGGCATTGCCTTATTTACATTTTATTAATATTACTGAACTTATCTAGCGAAGCAACTCAATTTACATGTATTACGATGGAGTTTCTAATTCAATTCTCGATTGTGAAATGATATTGTTGAAATCATTCCTAATTCCTCAAGTCAAGACGTGGTCACCGACAACTTCGCCAACGTTGTTATTTCTAATTTAAACAACAGAAAAGGTTCAAAAAAAGATTCAGTTTGTAAAAAAAGGATGATACAATCCAGAAAAGGTGCCAAAAACAACAAGCCAGCGAAATTGGGAACAAGGCAGTGATGATGCGAAAGACGGTAAATAAAATTGTAATAAAAAGAAAATAATATTATGGAAACGTCTAGTGAAAGCGGCGGCCGCTATAATGTAGGAAACTACATCGCCCTATTGCTATTTAGAATTTACGGCTCGCTTTTGTAGCGCAGGAAGTGAGGTCAACAGATGTAACTCATTCGCTGGCTCGCGAGGGTCGCAGCCGTTTTTATATTTGTTTATTTTTGCGGCAGCTTTTTTTCTGTTGTTATTGTTACGTTCTAGATTAATGTACTCGTCAATTATGGATGGATGATCACGTATGTTGAAAGAGTTTCGGTTAGCCATCTTAATAGAATTCTCATTTTGTTTATGCGATTCGGTTGATGTTCGATATATATATAAATTTTCCTCTTATATCAATCTGTATATTAATGAAAACCGAATTAATGTAAAAGATCTCAGCGTACAGACAGCCAGAAGAAACTTTGTTTTATACTATGCAAGCTTTTCGCCAGCGGCTTCGCCCGCATGGTCTTGTATTTTACATATAAACTTTACTTTTGAATCACCCTATCTATGAAAAAAAACCGCATCAAAATCCGTTGCGTAGTTTTAAAGATTTAAGCATATATAGGAACAGAGAAAGCGAGTTTGTTTTATATACTATGTAGTGATGTAGATTGATTAATTGAGCTAGCTAGGTACTTTTTTAATAGTCAAAATAAACTTAGTAAAAAATCAAAATAATCGAGTAAAATTATGGGCTTTTTTTAACAAGAAATTTTTTTTTTAAATGCCTTTCATTACGATCCATGCGGTTAATGGTTAACCAACTAACAACGAGCATCGCACTAATTATTGCTAAACCTCCTCTGGGCCACGATCAAGGTCCCTCGGAGGCTGGCCCTCGTCCCCCTACTTCATTGCCAATTAAAATGGGCCACTAGTTTAATCCGCCTATAGTTTAAAGTTTTTTAACATTAATTACAAGGGTCTGAGGACCTACGGTTAAGTTATAGATTACAATTTTTTTTTTAATGTGGTATGTATTTAGCGTGTGAATATGCCGTTTATATAATGTGATTTTGTCTAAACATAAATGTTAAATGTGCTATTAGTAATAATATTCATAATTGGTTCTGAAGGATATCTCTTCGTATATCCGGCAAGCGATGGACCAAAACTTCTGTTGCGGATCTTGAGCAGAATAACGTTGCTAACCATTTCTGGACTATATAATTAAACTTCTTCGATATTTGTTACTTCTTTTCTTTCTAATCTTGAGGTCCGGAGAGGTTCGAATCCTGGCAGGATCGCCATGTACTGTACGAAGGTTCGGCGCAACGAATAATAATTAGAAACGAATAATTAGACTTAATTCGGTTATGAGCGCTTTATTAATTACATAGCTTATATACTATTTAAAAGATATATGTGTGCATGGGTGATAGATACTACACATATAAGAAACATATTGTTGTTCTGGTTTACCTTAGTTTCTCTTTTTATGTTAAAATATTTCACCTATACTTAAGCTTATTATGCTTGTCGCACACCTAGATCTAAACAAAAAAAACTCAAAAAATTAACGTGGAGGGCTGACAATACATTTGTTTACGTGGCAGGAGCGCGACCACTGTTGATTCAACAAAAGAAAGCTAAAGTTATCTAGCGGCTCATCCCCGAAACTTTATTGAATCTTTTGTGTTGGATTGATGCGTATGATCACCGAGTATTTGAATATTGTACTAAGTCAAAATTCAGTCATATTCTTGAGTTGTCTTAGTTTAGATCTAGGTGTGCGAATGTATGTTAAGTAATCATTGAAAGATATTTTGTATTAATTTTAGACATCTTCATTACTAGTGCCTTACTGCTTTAGATACTTAATATGAGATCTTATTTTTGGGAATCTGATTTTGTCTAATATAAAAAACACACGATTCATTAGAAAAACAAAATAACATAAAATAGTTAGAAATTTCTCAGTCATTAATAGGGTCATAGATCATGCGGGGTATGAATCATATTGGGAATCATACTGGCTGGGCGACAGTGGGAACCTTTTTATTCCATGCGGGCAATACTTGGGGCGGTAGTAATTAGTTATATGGTAAAATATTATATCAAATACGTCAAGAAAATTATAAAGAGAGTAGTAATTAGAACGATTTATTAACCTTTATCATAATTCCATCTTCGGGTGCGGTACATATAGCTTAACATCGGAAAATGAGCTCTATGGCTTATTTACATTAGCCGGTGACATCCGCGAACGGGCAATTTCGATTCATCGCGTTCATAGATCGGGAAATGTTTGATTAACCAATGAAATAACGCATATGTCGCCCACACTCTGCATGCTGACTCTATCGACCAGTGTAAATGCGCCATTAAGGATATTGACCCCATCAAACGTCACAATAATTATCTAAACCAAGAGTACACCATCGCAGAGTGATGCTAGGGCGTGTTTAGATGGGCAATAACAATAAATTCGTGCCGGCTATTTAAACATCGTTGTATGAACACCCTAATGGCTGAAGCGTGATAGAACGGGCCCTTCGACGTCATTACTTGGACATTAAACCTAGAAATATATTTAATGTTCCTTTAAACAATCAACTTGGAAATTTGGGCGTGAGTAAACTTAAGGGAAAAATAAGAAAAAGCAATTATTTTTCTTTAGAAGTAATTTAGTCGACAGACGTTTATGTTGCAGCTAAGATTAGACGATATTTAATGAGAAGATATCATGGACGTGATAATAAAGGGAGATTATTTAGTTAGGTAATCATTTTTAATATGGACTTTAGGTTTGCCTTGTGAGGCTGGACCAGGCAGGCTCCTTGCCGGATCCTGGGTCCTTCTCTCCCCAGAGGGTACTCGCAGCGGGTTTTACCATCTAGACTGGCCTGACAGGCAAGCTTAAGCGTAAGCCTGTCCTTTTCAGGACTGATGCCGAGTCGGACAGCTCTGGTTAAAGACATAAAGGCAAAGATTGCATTTCTCCTGCTTAAAAAAAAGGGTTCATGACGATCCCCGTAGCATAGTGGTTCACACGCCGGTGTCAAGGCGTCACCATCTCTGAGTTGACGGGTTCGATTCCCGATCGGGTCGAAGTAGAAAATTGACTTTTATATAATTACTCGGGTCTGGGCGGTTTGGTACCTTCGTTGTCTCAGATACTTCATAATACGGGGACTTTAGCTGCTCATCTTGGAATATTTATTATTAATTAGGGGTAAAGAATTACCAGTGGCATTTTCTAATAAGTCTACATAAATAGGAACATAGCATTTTTAAATATGTCCCATTAAAAAAATCCCTATCTATTACATCGTGGTTTGAATATTGTTATCCCCTTAAATATCTATTTCATTATTTTTTTTAAATATATGTTGTTATAACGGCAACAGAAATACGTCATCTGTAAAAATTTAAACTGCCTAACTATCACGCTTCATGAAATATAGCTCGGTGACAGATGAACAAAGGGACAGCGGAGTTTTGGTAAGAGAAACTCGTATTACCCTTTGGTTGCGGAATCCTAAAAGCATCATAACAAACAGAAGTGGTTCAATTATAAATGTTTTATCAAATTCAAAAGCGGAAAGCGTTTACCGTACGTCTAGTTGTACTGGTCGTCCAGCCTGGGATGCTAGACTGACACGGATAGAAAATTTGATGCAATTTAGAAACTAAATATTCAACGTTGTTGCATCCGAGCTCCGGGAAAAATAAAACAAAACACTGACACAGACTAGCTACAAACACTAACACAGACTAGATGCAAATACAATTACACGATGTACTAAGTCTAACATGTTATGCGCTTTTTTAAAATTTCTGTCATTTATTTATTTAAATATGAATAAATAAATAAAGTCCGTGGACGAGTGAATAGTACGATGGTTACAATGTGTCGGCATCTCTGTGGTGACGAATTCGATAGCCGGCAGAAAATGTAAATGTGCATATCTGTTTTTATTATCACTGAAGGCCTACTTTTTTACTCCGAAAACTTTCAAATATTAGAAATTATAGCAGAGAGAAACACGCTAGCATGACTCCAAAGAATCCCATTTTTCGATAATGTATGATTCAACGGACACAACACTGCCTTTGATGCACAGATATATCTTCACCTATATGACTTTAACAAAATTATATGAATGATTCAAAATTGACCTCTGGTCTGGACTTTGTGGTACCTTCTATGTTCCAGATTTTCGCAGTACAAATACTTTTAGCTATCTAATTCGGGATCAGAGCAGTGTATGTTATCTTGTCTTATATTTGTTTGCTAGAGTTATTCTTTACATGAAATTTAAACTTAATTTCGACACGATTCCTCTTTATCTTTACGCGCATTTTAATATTTTGAAAAGAAATAGGCTTTAAGTAAAGTACACATCGGTCCTTATTATTTATTTATGTCTATAATTACCGTTTGATTTTGTTTCAGGTGGTAAGTCGCTGTTAGCAGTTAGAATAGCTGTTTGGGTATGTAGTAATAACATAAATATATTACCATTACTATTCACGGTAAATATTATATTTCTAAACAGAACTAAAAGTACGCTAATAACTGATATTGTGTGTAACCTATTGTACAACCACGTGTTTATGCATTTATAGCTTGTCTAGAAGAGAGGAAGAAGCGAACGAGTAATGTATAACGGAACAAGTCTAATTCGAGCGTTCTGTATATGGCTTTAGATGTAAAAAAAACAACAATACAAAAACAACATGGCGGGCTACTCACTTTGTAAAAATTCAATCTGATATTACACGCAATAGAAAACAGCATATCAATGTGTTGGTTTTTTACAAATTTGTTTATTAATATAAATTTACAATAAATGCTTTATGCTTTAGACTACTCACACACATACATATACTAACTTATACAGACATGCACTTAAACTCACACATAGTATGCAAGAAAGTATATTACCATATTTATTTCTTTTACATACCTTATGATATTCCAACTTGTTTGTACTTAGTACCTTTCTAAATATTGAAATGTCATTGGGGAGATACTGGCTTCTAAAATACAAGTAAAACTAGCTTAGAAGTATTTATACAAAATAAAAGAATTATGTATTATTATTATATTATTACTATAATAATATAACATGTTTTCTAACCCGCGGTATGGTGACTTGGGTCGTGTCTAGATACAGAAATGTATGTACAACGATGAATTCCAATTTGTACCAAAATCTTGTGGTAGCCAGGAAAGACTTACAAAATCCTGTTTCAGTAATTGCTGAAAACTGTAATGTTCGTCGATTGCGCATGTGGCCGTCGTTAAGGCGGAACCGTTTCGAAATTATAAAATTAAAACCGGCCACATTAAGGCTCTGCAAATCGTTAGTCTTAATTTCAGTTGCCCGATGAAGCGAGTAAGGTGTGTAGTAGAAGCTACGCTATAATATAAAAACAACGTTAATTCTCTGTACGTAATTAAGTTCCTTTTATATGTATTTAAATCTATATGATATAAACAAAATTTATACGTGTAATTCAGTTATTGTTTATGAAATATCATGAAACAATGTACCAATATATTTGTTATATAAATTCCTTAAGCTTAAGTGATGAAAATACTTCTATGTAGTTGATAAAAAATTTCAAAAATCTTTCAAAAAAGTAAATTCTAAATACAATGACTATATTCGACGACGAGGCAAATTTTACTACATTTAGTTTTGTGCTATCGATTACCATCAAACTGACAATACTATAACAAATACACAGGTATTATTAATTAATGGCCAAAAATAGCTCAACATGATAAACTCAAATCAACCGATTACATCTTCAAGATATTCACATATAGAGGAATAGTTCACAAGGTAGGTTTTACTCCTAATCAAAGTTATATATTATAAATTAGCTGACAATTTATAAAAGATATTATATTCTGAAAACTTTCATATATAAGTTTCGTTGTAAATGCTAAGCTATCCTTTTTTTTTAATTATGAACTGTGATATAACAAAAGTTTCTCACTATTTTTCGCTTTTGATGGAAAACAAGATTAATATTGAAATGCGCAGTCAGCTTTCGGAGCGTGATTGACGAGCGGCCGCGGCAAGCAAATACGATGTCGGAATAGCGCCATTTACAGCACACGATAGGTTTATGTATTACGTACTTATATATTTTTTTTTTATATATATTGTTACTTTTTAAAATAATATTTTCAAGAATAATAGCGGCGAATAGAAAATTCAAATAAAATGTATGGGACGACATTAGTTCAGATATATTGGTCTCATTCGGGACAAGGTGCAATTTCCTATTTACACAAGACTTTTACGTCAATATTTTAAATGAAGTAAAAATACGGATATTTTTGGCAATGAATAACAAAGTACAAAAAACTTTTAACAAAATATATCTTAACTATACTCAGTTTGAGGGTTCGCCATTACTAACCTAATAAGAGCGGCAGAAGTTATTTATAATTATTTCTTGGTCTACTTGATTTAAAATAAATTATGTATGCTATATACATACATACAACATTATATACAATCTATACATATTAAGTTATATTAAATAGGATATGTATTTTCATCCCAAAGATTTCACAATGACTATAAAACCAATATTAGTAATCTCTCTCCTTATACTGTCGACATAATATTGAAATTTAGAAACAACAATAGTGTCGTTATTATTTTTATGAACCAGGTTTGTCTATATTGTGTAAAGTGTAGTAATATATAAAACAAAACAATATTATCCACTCGAAATCGTATAGTGTAAACGCCAAATGTCTGAGTTATTAAATTCGCTCACACACATCACTAATTATCGGACTCAGACGTCTGTTTATCAAACGGATGTGTATTATGCCGAACAAAGCGATTCATGTTCATTGTAAATCATTTTCTGCCATCAATAAAAGGCTAGCATGACTATTGTTTATGCGGCCATTGTTTTATGCCACGATTTGCACTTCGTTCAAATCGTTAGGTGTAAACGGCATTTTTGTTTTATTATGTTCTTGTGATTTATGCAAACGTATTACTAGCTAATATGTTTAAAATGTTAATTTCTTACTAACTAGTGAAGTCGAGGTGAAAAAAGCACGTGATAATTATAACTCTGCATTTTTCATATATTTGGATTATGGATTATACATACATATACATGGATTAACTTAACTGACTATATTTTTGAAGAGTTTGAAATTCCATTTCGATATATTTAAATTTTTTATTTTTGTTATGAACAGAGTAAAACAATTTATAAATGAATTATAGATAGAATAAGAGACAGTAAAAAATCATCTAACAATAGAACATCGTAATCAGGTTCTATATTAATAATGAACCTATTTGGTTATTTACATTTGGTATCAAACCATTTTCCATAAAAGGTCTTATATTCCATATTCAGTTACTTCCCTCTAGCATTATAATCGTTTTTATTTGTTTAACAAAAGGATTTTAATGAAGGTGTTATTATAGTAACTTTGTCAATTAATATTATTACATTTGCTACCGAACTTAACAGCTTTTGTCTCTTTATTGAATTTAATCAAACAAACAGGTTAATGACAAAAACCAATTTTCAATGTAATTTAGTATATTAAATACATTATTTAACTTCGAATTACATTTATCATTATTTAAATAGGTGCATAATCATCGTCATAGCCTTATGAAAGTACACATTGTTGGGGCATCGACTTCCCATATAGAAGAAATCAATCAATAAAAATAACCCACCGCAAGAGCTTACTGTAACTTGGTATATTCGTGCAGTTGTTTTTAGTAATTAATAAATATGTTTGTGTGAAATACATACTAAGTAAAGGAAGATTTAAGTGTTTTTACTAATTAATAATATCATCTTTTTTGGCTACTGTATTATTCTCATCGCATTCAGGCTCTAACATTCTTTACTGATAGACTGGTAGATAATGCATCTGTCATTCATTACATACGCTACTTTTTTAAATGGAACAAAAAATAAATAAATACAGACAGTGTTAACTTATTTTATAGTTTAGTTTCGAACTCATTCTCGTAACGGTACTTCGTAGCAACAGTGTAGCACTGTAGCCTACATGACGACGGCTGTCGTTATTCTTGGATTATTTCGCTTATAAATCAATTTATAACTCTTACATATATTATATATATATATATATATATATATATATACTATAGTAAAAATAATAAAATAACTTTAATAAGTGCTTACCAACTTTTTGGTCGTTTATAAAAACTAGCTTTGCTCACAACTTCGTCCGTGTGGTACAGTTACTTTATGCAGCATTTCCAAACCCGCTAAAACAAATATTTATTCATTAAATCCTATAAATACCTTTTTATAAAGTTTCATGTTTTTATACTTCCATATAACTTCCATATAAACTTTAACATCTCATTTTAACCCTTTTATCATAATAAAAAGTAACCAACGTCCTGTCTCAAATTAACTCGGTTTAGTGGTTTAGGCGTGAGAGCGTAACAGATATATACACAGACTTTTGCATGTATAAAATTAGTATGGAATAATTAAGTGATTCTCCTTGTTAATTACCAGATACATATCTAAATAAATAAACTAAGATAAAATTTAAAATACAGATGGCAAGAATAACCCAAGACTTAATCGTAAACTGAAATCTACGTCAAATTCTTTTAACTAAACAATAGCGCTGTTTATTTAATAATAAACGTCATCTAGTATAAAAATATATAAAAAGTTATTTTCTTTCGAATAGTATTAAACGAAAAAAAATTATAAATTATGTGCTCAATTACCAATTTTTATCAGTGATAAGGAAATCTTTATCAATAATATTAGGTAAATTTAATTACAATGACAAAGCAAATAGTAAACGATTGTTGCTATGGTAACAATTTGTTTCCCCGTAAAAACTTCCACCCCCATTTTCAGCCCTTCAAGTGCTGGTTTTCGGGATAAAATATAAATGTCTTAAACTAATTAAATACTAATTTTCAATCATATACGTTCAAAAACAAAGAAGTTTCATACAAACGTAGAAATGGAATTCCCAAACATCCCCTCTTAGTACACCTAATAAGGCAAATGTCCTCTCCTAATTTCAAGTCTATACGACCAGCGGTTTAGGCTGTGCATTGTCTGTCAGTCAGTATGTCATAACATCTACTTTTATATATGAAGAAATAAATTTCGTTTTTATAAGTAAACTACCTTCATACTGATCAAAAACGCTTAGTGTTCCTGTGTTGTTTTGATCACGATAAAATAAAATATAGAATTGGATTAATAAATTGATACTTAGTAAAACCTTGTATAAGCACTAGATTACCTAATGTTGTGCACACGCATCTAAGTAGATTAAACTTAGTGTTCTTCAATACATTTGCTCTTAAATTCTAACGCACATAGATAATAAATATATTATTATCACGACACATGGACGGACAGACAAGCTCAATACAGTGGATC